TGCCTCTACATCTGGCAAGGCTGTCAAGCTGTTTGAAATTAGCTTAGAGACCGACACAGCCTCACACTGCCAGTCGTGCAACTCGTGAGTGGGCGTCAGCGGTGGACGGCAGGTGCATCATGTCATGCGACACCAGCGCTTGCCGTGCTTGTGGTTCCTGTTGACGCACGGCCAACTTCCGGATCCAGATGCCGGTCAGTAAAGAAATATACTAAAGTTCATCTTTTCCAGCTCCTTTACGAACCCGGGTAGTGTTTTGCTTACTCGCAGGTAACTTTTTAACATCTTGTACATTTCTGTCGAAACGGCAATCACTGCTGGCGTCCGGTATCCGGTCTTGTGGCCGGCGACATTCATGATATAGGTTTGGTCTATACGAGTAGCGTATTCGAACGATCTGAGAGTCAAAGAACACAAGGCACCAGAGCACTGCGCGTTTTGGAAAAGTAGATGTAGAAACAGATAGTTCCTCATCAAGCAATTGGGGTTGCCATGTCTCGATGCTCTACCATCCGGAAGTATTCCTCCGCCCTGGTCGCAACACTTGATTTGTTGAATCCTGTCATGTCGCTTACACTGACCCCTTCATCAAGGTCGATTACTCTTCCTTCCACTACACGTTTTGATCATTCCAATAGCATTATTACATCTATCTATAGCAGTTTCAACTTTAGTCGCCGCCTCTGCTGCTGATTGTTTTTTTATGATCAACAAGCTGACGAACTCTTCAAGTGTTCCTAAATACGATTGAAAGGTTCCTGGAAGTTTGACTTCCCAGAAATCCTGCAACCATCTTGAAAGGATTTTGTCACAATCTAAAAATGAGGATATGTCATATTCATCAGTCTCATTGTCCCAGATGACTTTGAGTTGTTGAATGTTTTGATTGGCAACCTCTTCACATTTGCACCTCTCTGGTGAGATAAGGTACGCCTAGAAGGCGTTTAACGTCTGCTGCTTACAAGATGGCTCAGTGGTAATGTGTTGTTCGATTATCAACCTATGTGAATGCTCCTGGGTCAGTCGATACACACTCATCAAGTGTTTGTCCAGGCGCTTGACAATCGCTGGGCAGTTTGACACCATGCATTACTTGTAGTGTTTTTTTCATAGTGTTTGTTGCACTGACTGCCCTGTTCGCGGCCGCCGCTTGAAGATATCTTCAATATCCTGGGCATTCCGCATGTGCCTTGCCATGTCCCTAACTTAGATAAGGCATAAACGGCATTGCTGCCGCAGGCTCGGCTTTGTAGCAGTTTGCTGCCTTGACCTACGCCGGAGGTAATGACGTATTGTTGTGCGCATTTACTGTTGCCATGCTTTTCCCGTTGCGATCTTTCACAATCTACAGGTATAACGCTCAAAACCCTCTCTTTGGGATTAGGCCGTATCACGTCATCAGAGATAAAATTATCCTCCTCGCCGGAAAAGGGTTTGTAAGTTTGATCGTTGTTTGAATCATCCCCTTCATTTCAATATCAAAGACTTCTGCGAATGGTTTCTCTCATTCGAATTTTTTTTTTTTTAGTATGCTGTTCGGTTTTTCCTCACCGGCGCGTTTCCTTCACTAGATGTTCATCTTATCTGGCCCATCTGTGACACTGTCTCGGGCGCATCTGTGACACTGTCTGCTGTCTCGGGCGCATCTGGTAGCATCTTATTTCGCGCACCTGTGACACTGTCTGCTGTCTCGGGCGCATCTATTAGGCTTTCCTATTATCTGGCGCATCTGTGACACTGTCTGCTGTCTCGGGCGCATCTGTGACACTGTCTGCTGTCTCGGGCGCATCTGGTAGCATCTTATTTCGCGCACCTGTGACACTGTCTGCTGTCTCGGGCGCATCTATTAGGCTTTCCTATTATCTGGCGCATCTGTGACACTGTCTGCTGTCTCGGGCGCATCTGTGACACTGTCTGCTGTCTCGGGCGCATCTGGTAGCATCTTATTTCGCGCACCTGTGACACTATCTGCTGTTACGGGCGCATCTGGTAGTATCTGCCTCCGCTGTCACCTCCCTTTTTTTCTACTCGTAGCCTTTTTACGCCTTGGCATAAAGGAAACTCTAACCCTGTAATGGTCATGTCAACTTTTCAGTATGGGAAATACCATTCTCGTTAATATGCTAGTTTCGTCAAATTTTAATAGTTAATATCAATCTTTATATTATAGCAACACTTTTCCGTGTAGTAGGCTTCCAAAAACCGATATTTTATGTTAACTCTGGTCCAATGTCAGTTTTCAACATAATTGAATTTAGATTTTAATAAATTATTTAACCAAGGTATAATTGTTTTGTCTTATGTTTTTCCATATACACCACAATCTCCTTAAATAGTACGGTTATGATATAAATAGTATATGTGTGATGTTAACCCTGCGTATAGTAATTTTACAACATAATATGTGCAAGGTATGTGACCGTAGAAAAAACAACGAAAACACAAAAGCTTTTTTTATTTTTTTTTGAATATAGGAATGTCGAGTTAGTTTCAACAAATACAACAATCTGTATAGCGAGTGTATAGGGTGTTAACTGAATGAAATATGTCAATTTATATTTGCGTTATTCGACAAGGTTTTAATATATGATGGTGTGAAGGGGGAGTTGAACGCAAAACGATTATACGCTAATACAATAGTTTTAGATGAAAAGAGACGTTTTAAAACGTGATATATTGACACATTTTAGTATTTAATTATATTAAGTAATTATATGAACAAGGTCATTTATGAACAGAAACTCAGGGTCAGGGTTAGAATATGCTTGTGTATCTATCCGTCTGTTTTTTGTGTACGCATATACACTATGACTGTATGCATTTCAATGTGTTGACAACAAAATAACAGCACTTTAACATGACTTTAACCACTAACACACAGCCCGTCGGATGGGACTATAAAAGGTATCCCGTGTGCGAACTGTCCAATCACGCACGGAAAAGATCCCTCTGGATTTTTTCGAAAAAGAGTAGGCGAGTAGCGCCGACACAGAGGATAGCGTTAGATTTGTCTTCGGCCGATAGAACTAGGATATCTTTATTAGACAATTAGAAGGACTTTAAATATATATAAACCAACAAAATTCATAGAATAGGCAGGCGCTGGTGGTGGCTCAGTACCTCATTTCCGGTCCCGAAGTTCCATACTACACTACGAGTGTTAGGTATTAAGGCAATTATTAGGCATAGGAGCCGTCTTACAAAACCTAGACTTATACAGTTAACACATATAGTATAGACGGCTCCTTCTCTAACCTGTCCCCCTCTTCTATCCCTTCACTCCATACTTTATCCTTTCTACTTATTTTCCTTCTTTTTTTCGTCTGCTGAATAACCGAACTACTCGGTGGTGATGGGACGTAAAACCTACCAATCAATCAATTATCGAGTCAAAAGGTATATCAAATCTTATCTTAAATTGACTTTGAAAAGTGGCTATTTTGCCACTTAATATTTTTATTATGACCAACAGAAAATATTTCACTTTGTTTACATGTTGATTTCAACATTACATCTCAATAATGAAATTGAGCTACCAGTACCTATGATATAACTAAGGTGACCGCTAAGGCCCTTTGGCCTCTTGTCAATTATGTTTTATTTTTGGGTTAGGATTAAGTTTTTTAATGTTGTACATTTTCGGACAGTATATACGGAATTGCCATAACGAGATTATGACTAGTTTGGTAGAGTTTAACAAAAGAATACTTTTTTACTATTTTATTCTTCGTTTTTGTGTCTGGGATTAGAAATTAAGTGGCGAAAATACCTCTCTGCAAGTTTGGAAGGAGGTTCTGGAAAACCGTTTTTTGTGATGAAAGCGCTGGACATTTCTCTTTCTTTACATACAAAGCTTATTTATAAACCTTGCAAATAACTACGGATATAAATCTTTTCAAAAGTGTGGTCTATTCACAACACAAGTGGCTTTTTTATGTGCTTCTAGGAAAAGTGATTATTTTAAAAATTGGATTTTCCAGAAAATTTAGTTAAATCTAGTTTCGTTCGCAACATATCAGAGCATCTTTGTGTGAAATTTGGAGGCTCTATGTCCATTAATAAGGAAACTAGGTATGAAAGCGTGAAAAATGGAATTGTGTTCAGATTTGGTCCAAGCATAGGATAGGTCGATATTATCCGACAACTGCATTTTTTAGGAGTGTTTTTTTATCCTTAAAATACTCCGTGGTTAGAACGGGTCTACTAACGATGTTTTAAAGATCTTCTAACCCCCTGGGGAAAAAACTTTTCTAACCACATTGTCGTTTACGGGGGTGGACCCCATGTGGTCTTATTCAACTAACCGCTCTTTCTAAGTCTAACCTTCACTGCTATTTTATCCCCGAAACACTCTTGCATGATATAAAAAATAGATTGGCACAATCTGACGGCGTGTTTTTTCTAACCCCGATCTCAAACGAAAGAAGTTAGGTGGGCTCGGTGCTTATTAGGGTAAGGTTAGGGTTTAGGGTAAGGATGTTCATACGCAGATAACCTTGGCGAACTCGTCAATGTCAAAATAATAGTGACGTAATTTGCGGGGCCTAATGTTTTTGTAGTGTTATCTGAGCATGCATGACGTTATATGTAACATATCTTTTGAACCCCTCGGACGACGTGTAAAGGATTTGAAATGTAGCTTACATTTGTTAACTTATCGGGATTGTTATTGAAACAATGTGTCCTCTGGGGTCTCCACCTTTGATAAGGACATGAATTCTCTGAGGGAACACAGAAAGCTTTTAATTGTTCCTTGTTTGTATTTCGTATGGCAATTATGAAGCCAGCATTTGTTGAGTATACCCGCATCTTGTATGGTTTTCAAGCCGAAGTCCGCATCAATTTCTTTCCACATAGTGTATATCTGTGTCAGGTGTTGTCTTGTTACTTTCGGATCTTTCTCACGCTCTATTCCCTGAAGCCAGGCGGAGAATTTCTTAAGCACTGGATGCTCGTCTTGCGGGTATCTTACAGTTACAGTGGATGCCGGTATACTTTACCTTTTTGCTATGGATGATGTTGGTAAAATCCTTTCTTCCGGTGCTGTGACATTAGATGTTACTACTGTTGACATCGTTTGTCCTTGACTTGTCGTTGGAAAAACATGTTGACGAGGGAGGAAGTTGTCCACGTCAATTGGCGCAAACTGCGTTTTCTTTGTCAGAAGCTTTGACCGCTCCTTAGAAATGCCGTGATCCATTTGGGGAGCTTGTCTTCTGATTTTTTAATACTAGTGTTCGTTTCTTAGTTGATTCCACATCTGGACTATCTGGATTATAACTAAGATCTGAATCGGTGTCATCCAAATCCTCTTCGTCTTGGAACAAATCTCGATCTGGCTCAATATAGATCCGACACGTCTTCATCATCGGTTGACTTGTCTGCTCCCGCGGTTATTTATTTGATGTCAACTGGTTCCAAGTGCCTTTGGGGCCAATATTCCAACGGTTCCAAGTGCCTTTCGGGTTTCACAAATGTGGTCGAAATTTGTGAAACTATGTGCAGGAGCCGCTGTCATGTCATCATCTTCACCATTATCATCAATGGCCATGTCTGTGTTGTCTGCTTTTTCTGTTGTTTCGTCCTGATCCTCCGCTAGGTTGCCATCAGCCGGATCCGGGATATATAAGTGTTCATGAGTTTCGTTTGTTTTCGGTTTTCCATATGATCTTTTTTCGGTTCTTATCTGTTTTACAGTGTATCAGCTTTGTAATAGTCTCTTTAGATTTTTTCCTCTACTTGTCTTCTCTGTCACTGTCTTATGTTTTTTTGAAGTTTGCTTGCTGTCCTTGATTTTTATATCCTTCTTGGAGGTTTTTTAATCACGTTTTTCTTTTTTCTGCTGTGGTTCTGTTACTCTTTCTTGTTCCTGCCCTCGTTGTCATCTTTTTCTTCGGTGCCATTGCTTCTTTTAGAATACTTATAAATGCATCATCGTTGTTAGCGTCAGAGTACTTAACTTTTATAAGGTCACCTGAGCTAAAGCTCAGGTGACCTATTGCTATCCATTTTCGTCCGTCGTTGTCCGTCGTCCGTAAACATTTTACTTTTCAAACTTAAAGTCAAGTTCTGCTGGGCCGATTGAACTGAATGTTGGTGGAAATGATCGCATTATGGTCCTGACAAAGTGTTGTTATTTTTCGGGTCAATCAGAAATCCAATATGGCCGCCACGACCGCCATTTTGAAAAACTATTTCAAACTTAAAGTCAAGTTCTGCTGGGCAGATTGAACTGAAAGTTGGTAGGAATGATCGACTCATGGTCCTGACAAAGTGTTTTTATTTTTCGGGTCAATCAGAAATCCAATATGGCCGCCATTTTGAAAAACTATTTTAAACTTCAAGTCACGTTCTGCTAGGCCGATTGAACTGAAACTTTGTAGGAATGATGGACTCATGGTCCTGACAAAGTGTTGTTATTTTTCGGGTCGTTCAGAAATCCAATATGGCCGCCACGGCCGCCATTTTGAAAAACTATTTCAAACCTAAAGTCAAGTTCTGCTGGGCAGATTGAACTGAAAATTGGTAGGAATGATCGACTCATGGTCCTGACAAAGTTTTATTCGATATTTTGTTACTTTGAAAAATATAAGGCAAAATTATAATAATAAGAAATGGTGTTTTTTCTTAAATTCTTAACATATACACGTGCAATGAGCTAATTCCTATTAATAAAACACTGAACATCTGGTCCCCAACGGAAAACATAACAAACATTGCAAAACACTAGGTGTTTTTCAAGTTTTTTTATTTATATTTTTGGGAATAATTCGGTAACATATATATATATACATACATTATAGCAATTATTTATATATTAGTAACTACAATAACATCATATATCACAATAACTGCAAGATAATATCTGTATGATATATGGTAATTACAAGGAAATATTTCTTATACAAGAAAATGTAATAGTAACTTCAAGAAAATATTCATATAGTAGTCTAATTTGTTTATATAATAGTAACTATACGAGATCATTAATATAACAAATATTAGCTAAATGAAATCATTTATACTATTATAGCAACTGCAACATTTATTTATATTAAAGTAACAACAATGAAATCTTAATGTAATAGTACAGTTGTGTGAACGCACAACGCACCAAAAATAGCGTGCACGCACCGTGCATACATCGTTCACACACTGTCTGCACATCGTCCACACATGGTGCGCACAACTGTGCGATTTAACAATCGTTCGCCCCGTTGTGCGCTTCTCTCCGCACAACTGTTCATTTGCATTCGGTTTGCATATAGCTCCCCTTCACCTGTGTTTTCACACCCCAGGCCCTACCCGACGAAATACGTAAGCGCCCCTGGCGGGGGAAAACTACCGTCCAGGTACATGTAGACGGCTAGTGGCTATGTTTACCTGTATTCGGGACTGTGTTGTGATTTCACAGGTGTCGATTAAGGTCGTTTAAAAAATACCAAAAACACAATTTCTAAATTTAAGAAAGTGTAGATATAAAGATAGGTTTACAGATGTAGGTAGGATATAGAAACATACAAAAAAATCAAGGTTTATGTGTTTAAACACGAAACGGTATATATTGTTAAGGCATTCCTCAATTTACACCAACCACGATTGTTATCGCACAACGTTCGTCCATCGTGCACGCAAATGTCCGCAAGATGTGATCGCCCAAATTTTTAGCGTTCGCACATCATGGACACATCGTGCACACATCGTTCGCACATCGCACATCGTGTAACGTTGTGTGATCTCACAACTGTAACTACAAGAACATTATTGTTTGTATTTTATTATATTTGCCCTCGTTATGCATTAGTTAAAATCTTGAAAGGTTTTGTCCTAGTACATGTGTCTTTCCAAAAGATGTTAGACAAGGTGATAGTTGCAACTAGCTTGTACCGTTCGGAACAATAAGCCATTTGAAATTTTACTCCTCAATTGGTTTATGATACTTGGCCACCAGTTTTATGATTTTTCCCTCGTATATCCATTACAAAAACGGGATACAATAAAAACGCAAATCTCTAAGTTTTCATAGAAAATGTTCCTTCTAAGTTTCAATTTAATTATATCTTTTATTGTATCAAACCGAATAAAAGGGAATCGGGCAACATGCAAAGCCTATGCAAGGGTGATAGATTTGGAACATCAGGCAATGTTGAAATTTAATTCATACTAAGAAGCCCCTACCCAATGTTTGTGTGTTTGACAGGGAGACCTGATATTTATGATTTCCCAGAGTATAATCAAGGCGAATCACAATGGCCAATCACTGTCTAATTAATGAATGAAAAACCACTATTTATAGAGAACTATTTACAAGAGCATTATCTAAGTTACAGTTACAAGGATAAGAGGGAGATACATGAATGTAAATCCTCTCTGTATACACCAGGCGAACAAGGCTAAAGTTTGTTGAGGGTCAAATACGGCTAGGACATCCTTCCAAAAAATGACGGTCTCCACAAACCGGTAGCGATTTTGAAAGGAATGGAGACCGGCTTGGATTTAATCCATCATTTGGTCGATGACGAATATGGTGCTGGGAAAGGCCATTGTGATAATGATACGGAAACGCGCTAAAAAGGCGTTAAATACAATTCACCCGTACCTAATAGAAGACTTGCCTTTAACCGAGTACTCCAATCCCACATAGACAGAAAATGCAACAAAAATGAAACACATTATATGAAGTGTATTACATGTGTTTATTATATAGCATTGAACATTTCTATAAAAAGATGTGACGGATATCTCCAATAATGAAAAGAAAATATGAAGAAGAAAATACTTTTTACTGTTTATTGCATTTTTTCTCAGAAAATGAGATCTATATCTATAATTCTCCATATATGCAAATACAATATAGCTGTTTCCTGAAAAAAATCATATTAGGCCTGTAGCATGCTGGGATGAAGGGCTACCAAGTTTGTTAAAATTAATTACCTTGACCCACTTTCAAGGTCATAGGGGTCAAATGTCGTAAAATCTTCAAACGACTTATTTTCAATAACAAACAGGCCCAGATTACTGATATTGGGCCTTTAGCATGCTGGGATAAAGGGCTACAAAGTTTGTTAAAATTAATGACCTTGACCCACTTTCAAGGTCACAGGGGTCAAATGTGGTAAAATCTTCAAACGACTTATTTTCAATAACAAACAGGCCCAGATTACTGATATTGGGCCTTTAGCATGCTGGGATAAAGGGCTACAAAGTTTGTTAAAATTAATGACCTTGACCCACTTTCAAGGTCACAGGGGTCAAATGTGGTAAAATCTTCAAACGATTTTTCTCAATAACCAAAATGCCAAGGGTACTGATATTGGGCCTGTAACATGCACTAATGAATGGCTACCAAGTTTATTCAACTGAATGACCCTTGACTTATATTCAAGGTCACAAGGGTTGGCTATGTTAAAAACCGTTAAAAAAAAATCCTATGAATAATCAAGAGGCCAAGTGTGATGATATTTGGCTAGTAGGATGATGGGATGAAGGGCTACAAAGTTTGTTTAAATGAATGACCTTCATCTTTTCAAGGTCCCAGGTGTCAAATATGTTTTAAGCCTTTAAACAACTTCTGAATAACAAAGAGGCCTAGGATAATGCCAGTAACAGGCTCGGATGACGGACTACCAAGTTTGTTCAAATGAATGACCTTGACAAATATTCAAGGTCACAGAGGTCAAATATGTCAAAAAACTTTAAACAACTTCTTAATAAGCTAAAGGCCTTGGGTGATGATATTTGGCCATTATTAACATGCTGGGATAAAAGACTACCAAGTGAATGACCTTCGCCAATATTCAAGGTCATAGTGGTCAATATATGTTTAAATCTTTAAATGATTTGTTCTGTATAACAAAAAGTCCCAGGGTAATGGTAGTTTGCCAGAAGCATGCTGGGTTGGAAGACTATCAACCTAATGTCCTTGTTCGACATTCAAGGTCACAGGTGTCATATAGATGAGCGATAGAAAATAACCGTAGAATGCTGTACTATGAAGCAAAGGAAGTAAAAGTGTACCATAAAGATATGAAAAATAAAAACGTATCTAACAACTTGGAATATAAATGCTAACCCTATACACTATGGTCCTTTTTCAACTTAATCACCACATAGTATTTTAATTAGGAAATAGCCGAATAATAGTAGTAAATAAAGTTCAAGTGTACCATAAAGATGTGAAAAATCAAAAACTATCGAACT